GTTTCCGGTAACGCGCTTTGGCGCAAATCAGCAGACACGCCTGATTTCGAAATTGCAAAACATTTTCACACTCTTGTGGTTCCAACGCCACCCCCGCCCCCGTCCCCGTCCCCGTTTCGCGGCCGTCCCGTCCGTCGCGCGCACGGTACCACCTTCCGCTCCCTTTGCGCTGCCCAATTTTTTTCTCGTTTTGTCTTTCTCTCTTTTTTCTTTTTTTTCTTTTTTTCGGTTTCCGCGCATACGCGTGCACACATCGACGCCGACGTCGACGCCGCCGTCGCTTAAAATCGCGCGTTTCTCCGCGCAAAATGCCTCGCGCGTCCGCAAAAGCACGCATCATCGTCGACGAAAAACGCATCGCGGACGCCGTGGGCTGCGCGAAAAAGTGCCCGACTATGTAACAAAAACGTGGCTGTCGGTGTCCGTTTTAGTCGATGAAGTCCAGCGATTCCGGTGGCAAGTGGATACCTTGCGATTCTTCCCAAGGAATCTCATTATGCAAAATTGTGCGTGTTTTAATGATATCCTCGTATCCGATATTGCTTGCTAACGACACATTCGCAAGTTCGTTTAACGAGAATTTGCACACTTTCTTCGACCAGCCGTTCGGCATCTCCCGCGGTCGTCTTTTCATCCTTTCCCGTGTCTTGCTAAAGTCTTTCGCGGAACCGATATGCGGAAAACTCGAGCGTATCTAATAAGAGCACGATATCGACGTATCGTATGCATGCCTTCCGCGTTTTAAAGATATTAAACAGTTTGCCGGCGACAGCATCGCGCCAGAGCTCGCAGTTGCTGCGGTGCACCAGGTCGATGTACCAAGATTGCGCGCGTTTAATTGTAAAGCGTTTAACATCGACTTCGGCCCGCGGCTACAAGAGAGAGAGAGAGAGAGAGAGAGAGAGAGAGAGAGAGAGGGGGGGGGCAAACAGTACCGGAGTAGGAGTCGGAGTGTGCAGTCATTAAATTATTCCGGAAGGTGAGCCCGATGGGTGTCCCCGATCTGAAACGGGCCGCGCTCGACGGAAAAATCGGCCAGAACATCTGACGCGATCTATACGGAGTTCCCTCCTCGCACGTGTTAAACGCGCTGCATCGACCTTGTTTCGTCTTGGCGACACCCCGTCTCTCGTCCACGCCTCGAGCGAGCGCCTCGTGCTTCAGCTAACAAGCTCGCTCGGAAAGGGTGCGGGGGAACATACACCGGGTCATTGCCGCGAGAGATTAAATGACTCGGTGTCGCGTGAATGTGCATTTTTCGGAAGGAGCTTGCGCCGGCTGGCGCGAAATTCGGCAACTCATCACAGTGATACGTTGTCGTTACTCGCAATTTCACTTGGACCGGAATCGCAAGATCTCTGAACACGCGTTTCATCAGCTTCGAGCGCACTCGGGCGGGTATTTCCGGTATTTTGCAGATGGACAAGAACAATGTCTGTGGTATCGAAGAATATCTGCATCGCTCGTCGCCAGCACGTGCAAAATCTCGAGTGTACCCCCCGCGGAAAAGCCCCTCGGACTTGTTCTCGCTTCCTCTCTCCCTCTCCCTCTCCCTCTCTCTTTCTCTCTTTCTGTCTTTCTCGGCCGGGCCGAGGATACGACGCGAATCAGTGACTCCGAAAAACGCGCACCTTCAATGCGCGGCGAACGCCGCGTCGAGAGAACGGCGCGATCGAGCGAGCGAGCGAGCGAGCGTGCGTGTCGGCAAACAAAATCGCTCGATGGAACGCCATCGGCGTTCGTCGACGGCCGGCAGCCGCCCTGGGTCGCTCTCCTCTTCGTGGCCGATGCGCGCATACACATACACACGCTACGTCGCCCCTGCGGGGGCCGAGCGAAATGCAAAAACGTCAGCGGCAAGATCCTCGAATGATTTTTCGACAACGCGCAATGCAAATTGCCCGCGAGCTGCCCGCCGCATGAAACTTCCGCTTGGCTGTCCCGCGCGCGATTCGCCGGATCGGCCGTCGATTTCCCGATAAATAACGTCGCATTTTCGGCATACGCCGCGCGGCCGGCGAGAGGCTTTTGCTCGCGCCCACACTGCCAACGATGCGGAAAAAGCGCGTCAGACACGTTAGATCTGTCCAATTGTGCCTTCTGTGCGCCGCTGGTATCTCTCTCCTCTTCCTCTCCTCTCTCACCGTGATCGCGCAGTAGTTAGCGGTGTACACGATCGCGCGCGCGATGTTTCGATGGAAAAGCATCGGCAGGCTAATTGCCGACGAGAGGGGTATTCCCGTTGCCCCCGGCAACCCGTTCCATCGCCGATGGAATTATAATCGGCCGATTATAATCAGCGAAATTACGCGCAGGTACCATAGCCATAGTTGGCACACGCGGCGCGACGATGTAATAGCGTGATGCTTCGGACCGGCCAATTTTATTATCGGCCAGTCTGCCATTTCTGTGTTACGCTGTTTATTATCGTGACGCTCTTGACATTCTCTGTATATTCGTTATATTACGTGAAAAATTCGATATATCAAAAATGAGGGACACGAGAGGCAGAGCGAGACGAACGTGCTGCCGGCTTTGCCGCTTCGCGATTTCGCCCCGCTATCGTTATGGCCGCCGCTGTCGCGTTCATTGTACGTTACCGCGGCTAATTATCGCGGCGGTTGCCCTTTGACTCGATTAATAACAACGAGTGCGCCCGATACCCAGCCACGTGCTGAGCGTTTCCAAATTTGTTCCGCGGGAGCTTACGGGTTCCGCGCCAACCGGTCCTCCGAGCAAAGGAGAAAACAGAAAGAAAGGAAGAAGTGGAGAGGAGAGGAGAGGAGAGGAGAAAATCGTGACGAGCAGACGGAAGGGGGCAGGGAGGGAGGATCCGGGAGGGAGACAGAAGAGGCGATTCGTACCATTTGGCTCGGTTCGACGTCGGTTAACACAGCGGGGTTACCGCGGACGCCTCGACGGACACATTGAGGGCGCCCGCTCGACTTGATAATCGCTTGCCATTCATACACTTTTCATTGGATTGCGATTGAGCATTAAGAAACCGGGTGAGAGCGGCAGAAAGAGCGAAGGAGAGAGAGAGAGAGAGAAAGGAGGCCCGAGGGCTATACGCGCTTTGCGTCGCGCCCGGGCGACGTATTAGCATTAGGAGGCATCATCTCGAGTGTAAACACTGCATGGGCACTGCGCGGATTTAGTCACAGTCGAGAACCGCGGGACGTCCCCGATATTATCGTCCCCGTGCGTCCCTTTCGTCTACCTTTCGGCGACGTCCCTCCGCTGCGCACCAGTCGATACCCACTTCGTCGACGTATGTTCGCGATCTATTAACCTGCTTGCGAGAACAGCTCCTCTATTTTTTCCCTTTTCATTCTTGTTTAAACCGCCGCGACTCCAACCTGATTCGAGCGAAATCATTCTCAAACGACGATGCAACGACGAATTCGTTGTTTATTCATTAGCTCGACGATAATAGATTGTCGGACGAGGTGAATTTTTACCCGGGACTCACCAGGACCGGCCGTCTCGATAAAATACAGTGGAACCCACCCCGCGCGACGCGGGGTGACACCTCGCGTCGCGCGAGGCTAAACTCGCGTGACGGATTAATCGAGCCACCCCTCGTCTCAACGGCGCTTCTCAACGGCGACGAAGCGACACGTTCGGTTTCGCGTGTGTGACGCACAATCTCTCGGGCGAGATCGAGCCGAAGACACATCGGTGGGAGGAACTATCTGAGAGGAGATCTGCCGGAACGCTGCTGACACAAGAAGTTTCGCGTCGTAGGGTCGAGCGAAAGAAAGCGGTTTGTCGTTGGCCTTAACCGCGGATTCACGGTTAAGGCCCGGGGATGGCGGACGCCGTCCATGATCCCCTTGATCCAATCCGTGAGGAAGCGCGGGGCGTTAAATCCCACGGGAAAGCTCCGTAACTGAGCTCGCGTTCGCGCGCTAGCTAAGTCGGTCAGCCCGGTCCAGCCGAGCGAGAGGATCACAATACCGCCAGCGACCGCGGGTCGTACCGTCTCGCCTCCTCCCGCGTGCGTCTGTTGCACCCGTGAAAATTAGTTGCGCGAGAAATCCACGCTAATGTCGGCTAATCGGCCGTAATCAGCCGTGAGAACAGACGGCTGTCGCGCGAGTCGAACGGACGAGTCGCCCAGACGCGTCCTGCTGGAGGGATCGGGACGGGTGGGAGGAGGGAGACACCTTCTCCTCGGGGATCGATGTCGCGATTCGATCGCGCGACGATCGACGCGCGATCGAGCGTCGATCGTCGCGCGATCGAGCGGATCCGCGCGTCGACGAGAGCGCGAGCGTGTAACCAAGAGACAAATTGGGACCTCGCGGCTTGACAGTTCCGAGATGTAAGTAGATATTGGCGGTTTGCTCGTGCCGAAAAATCTATCACCGCCGTGTCGACTCGTTGTTCGCGCGATCAGCGAGCTGAAACGGCACGTTCGAAACGTGTCCGTTGAATCGCGATTAATTGAGGCACCAATTGCGCATAGTTAGTTAACCTAGATTTTCGATTATGCGGTTAGGAAACGAGCGTTTGACGCGCGCCTGTGTCATGAGCGAGTTTAAATTTGGTAACTCGCGATAAAGCTACACTTATCGTGAGTGAAAATTCGCGAGTCGCGTTATGGTTAAACATGAGAAACGCACACGTGACGAGCAAATCACCGCTGCGTCGCGAATACCCGAATTGCGGTGTGTGACGTTCCCTTTCGTTTAGGAACAAACAAGGGACCGAGGAGGAGCGAGGCAGCGAACCCATCGATGAAGAGTTCTATGATCCTCACTTACATCGTGTCACTCACAAACCGGTGTCGTATGTTCGTCAACCTTTTCAAACTAGATTTATTCGTGGGAAATTTTCCCTCCTCTGCTGCCCGAGATGATTATCTCAGAAAATAGCGAAATTACCGAGGAAATCCTATCCCTCCTATCTTTTCCTTCTCTCCTTCTTTTCAATTCAGAGACTTTGGATCTCTGGCAAATTTGGTGAAAAGCGCGGCCGGAACGGGCCTGTTTGCCATGCCACACGCGTTCGCGTGCGTCGGCCTCTTCTTCGGGATCGTCGGCACGGCGCTCATGGGACTGCTGATAACCGGCTCCCTTCATCTGCTCGTTAGGATCCATCACTCGATGTGCGTTCGTCTGAAGAAGCCTGTCCTGTCGTACGACCAGGTGGTCGTCGCCACTTTGACCACGAGCGCACAGAAACCGTGGATCTCCGCGCGCGCTTCAACGTTCGTAATTTCAGATAAAAATCGCGTCGTTATTTCGCGCCGCAATAACAATCTACGCGAAATACGGTCTCAAGGCTCTTATCTTAAAATATAAATTATAAACGCCATTCATTTGCAGACTCATTGTTGATGTCGTGATGCTGACGTGTTACATCGGAATCGGTTCCGTGTACGTTGTCTTTATCTCCGGTACCGTGCAAGAATGTCTGAACAGTGAGAGAGCGGTCGGTCAGAGCTACTACGTTCTCGTAATATTTCCCTTCCTCTTTCTAATGAACATGGCGAGGAACCTGTCGGACATTGCGCCTATTTCCATCGCCGGGATTGTCTTGATCCTCGTAGCCGCAATTATCGGGATGGTTTACGCGTTAAAAGACGGGATTGGTGATACGTGGACCACGATCGGACCCAACATCAACTTGTATCCCAAATTTATCGGCTTGGTATTCTTCAGCTTGTGTTCGCCGGGAGTGGTGAGCCTTCTGCCGAATTCTGCGATTTCAAAAACGACTCCGCGATTGTATGACGACTGAGAAATTATTGTGTTGGTCCCTGGATGAAAGAATTAATTGTTCGTCATACGCGATAAGTGAGGTTACGTTTAATTTCGCGCGACAGATTCGCGGTTCTTAGCGGATCGTTCACGCTCTGTAGATACTGGCGATAGAACACAGCATGAGAAGGCCTGGGAATTATACGAAACTCTGCGGAGTCTTGAATTGGGGCATGGTGTTCGTGGTTTTGATATACATCTTCGTCGGTGTCGTCGGTTACTTGAAGTGGGGCTCCGAGTCGCTCGGCAATTTTATCCGCAATCATCCGGAGAATGACGGGTAATATTACGTCGTCGCGCCGATCGATCAATTAATACGTCAAGTATCTTAATTCAGAAAGAACTTGGGGGAGGTTGCGAAAGTCAACCGTGTATGAAGAACGTGGCATTTACCTTGTGCTTTTTACAAACGTTTAGAACGACAATAGCGGCACTGATAATGCAAATGCTGGCGATATACTTCACGTACGGGCTGCAATGTTACGTGCCTATTACGATCTTGAAGAACAATTACGTCATGCCGGCGATCGAAAGGGGCACGTGCAAGGGCTCGCCGTTTCTCTGGGACCTGATCATTCGTTTCCTCGTCACCTCCGTCATGTGTAAACGCCAACATCCCTCAGATATCTCTTTTTTTTCGTAAATCTCGCGTTCTCCTCTCTCTCTCTCTCTCTCTCTCTTCCGTATTTTCAAGGTAAACTCGTGCAAGTTCGACGGGTCGCGGCGGATTGAATCCCGCCTTTGTCCCGGAGCGACCAACTTCGCGAAATCGATCAATCCGTCCGATTACAGTTCGCTTCGGACCCAGATATTACTAAAGTTGGGGAATCCACTTTCGTGGAATTTGATATAGACGCTCAGTTTTGTCGGAGTCTCCCGTTCGACCGAATCGCTCCGCGGACGATCAGCCACCCCGACGACAATAGCCGCTCATTATTGCTATAATTTGCTCTGATCAATCCAATCGATACCGTTTACCCAACCACCTTCGCGCCTCGAAATTTCCCAAAATTTGCGAAACTCGTCGCGTCTCGCAGGCGTCCTGGCGGCGGCGATCCCGAAACTCGATCTGTTCACCGGCCTAGTCGGCGCAATATGCATCTCCGCCCTGTCCACGTTAATTCCGACCACCTTGTACATCCTCGTGCATCACGAGGATTTCGGGAAATATAAATGGAGGCTGATCTTGGGCGTCTTCATGTTTTCCGTCGCTTTCTTCGCGGCCGTGTGCGCCGTGACGACCAACATCATCCTGATTGTGAAATTTCTCAGATACGGGTATGATTCATCATCATTATGCCTCGAACGATTTTCTCTCAGTCGAGACTCAAGATGACACCTTAGACGCAAATTACTCACGCGAGCTGACGTTGCGTAATAATGATACAGTCGCTAAGAATGTCGTTTCGGTCGAGTAAAAGTTTACTCAGAATCGCGGGAACTTGAGACGGAAAATAAAGACCTCAATGGCTAACACTTTAAAACTGATCCGGAGACTGGCTCGCGAATACGGCTAATGTGATCGCGGTTACTTCGTCGCTGCGGGGAATAAAACCGCGTTAACGATCCTCCCTCATCCCCCTTTTTTCAGGGACTAAAGCCGAGGCGCGCGCGCGCACACGAACGCGGCGGTGTTATCTTAATCTAGTCTCTCTGTTCGTAGTCCGCAGCCCGATGAAAATGCCGTCGCCGTCGACTGGCGTTTTCCACTTTTGTCTTCGGGCGCGGCTAAAGCCGCCGTTTACGCGCGATTCAGCCTAATCGCGGCAGCGGCGACGGCGTGGCGGCGTTGGAAAAACCGCGAAAAAGGCGTGAAGCAGAGGCTTCACGCCTTTTTCGCCCCCGTCCCCCTGTCCCCCCTCCCCCCCCCGTCCCTCTGGACGGAGGGGACAAAAAGCGAGAAGAGAGCGGAAAAAGGGAAGAGAGAATATAGCGAGAGGAGAGAAGCGCGCGCGCGCTCGACGTATAATCGCGTCAGATCACCGAGGCGTCAATGGCTGCTGGGCTTATCACGCACACACGTGACGGATACGAAGATGAAGAGAACGAAGGGAGCAAAAGAGACAGATGGAGGGAGGAAGAGAGAGAGGTAAACAGAGCGGGAGAGAGAGAGAGAGAGAGAGAGAGAGAGAGCGAACGCGACACACGTGGAAACTGGCAGACACGTATCGACGTCGAATACACGACCGTGTGGGTGCACGCGAAGGCCAGGGGAACGGCGTTGTACAAACGGGGATGAAGGGTGGACGGGAAGCTTTCTCTCTCTTTCTCTCTGTCTATCCACAGGAAAAGGAACCAAAGCGGCGGCGGCGGCGGCGGCGGCGGCGGCGGCGGCGGCGACGGCGACGGCGACGAGAAGAGAGAATCTCTATATAGCGGGATACGGAAGGGTGCTTTCATCACATAGAGAGAGGACACAACCCCTTTTAGTGGCTAACACCGTGTCCCCGCTGCCCTCCACGTCCTAAACCCCCCCCCGCACCCTGGCCGCTCGTTCTCTCGGTCTCTCTCTCTCTCTCTCTCTCTCTCTCTCAGATTTGCCCTTACAGACTGCCTCCGCCTGGCCGCTCATCCGTTTGCCAGTTCAAGGTGGCTGCGTTCATTACCGGAGGATACACCCGGTATAGTGTGGGACTCCACCGAACCCGTCGGCTTCCCTCGTCGGCTTGTCGGCCAGCCCCCCTCCCACCCCTCGAGAATACGTCCCGGTTAATAATTATATTCGATAAATCGGCGGCGAGGCCGCAGCGTTGGCCGCGACGGCGAAGAGAGAGAGAGAGAATCGCAAAAGTGCTGGGTGCCGTTAAAATGAACGCCATCGGAGATATTTACGCTGACATTGATAACACGGAATGCAGATAATACAATAATTACATCAAACGATGGATTTTTTTATCAAACGTTTATCAAACGTACGTATATCTCGGCGTTCAACTTGGAACATCATCGTCCGGAAATGGCGCTTAACAGTCCAGTAGTTTAAGAATACTTGGCGTATCCTCTCCTCTCCGTGTTTACACCAAGGCCGCTACACCTGTTGGAACGTGCAAAGACAATCGCTAGAGCGCGTGAAAGTACCGAAGCGAAATTGGACGAGCACGTGCGCGTCTCTCTCACGAGCAAGTAATGACCCGCCGAACGAAAGGCCGTCACCGAGATTTTTCTTTCTAATTGGAACGAAAAAGAGCCGCTTCCGCGCGCGAAATTGCGGGGATTAACCGACGGCACGAAGCGCACGTGCACTTAAACAGCCTCTAATTGCTAAACCGGCAGGCAGAACTGCCACATTGAACGTTCCCCCGAGTTTCCCCGTTTTCTCGCCAGCGAGAAAAAGTCTTTTCTCCCTGTAGAAGCAGAAAATATTTACTTGATACGGATGAGAGAACTTTGTAGAAAAATAACACGATCATACAACAATTCACCAATTATTCCAGCAACCGATATAACGGGCAAAGAAAAATTTAGTATCAGGAAAAACATGACAGTACAATAAGTGGAAAAAGACAGGGTGACCGGACGTAGAAAATAATTCTTCCCCTTGAGAAATGCGAATATCCGGGGCTATTGTCGTATCATTAAATCTGTCGTTTTCTCGCGTCTCTCTAGATCGTTAAGCGTTTTTTCGCAAGTAGAACGCCATTCTCCAAGGGTAGAGTTTTCAGATTGAAAGTAGCAAAGGCATACTGATAGTCAAGCAGCCGCCTCGCAAGCTCTCGCGCGCACACGCGTACGTGTCGCGTCGTCAAGTCCGTGAGATCTCGCGGGAGCGAACAACGTGACGAGCGGCGAGAAGGAAGCGAAACGATCGAAGGAGACGGATGGTAAGACAGGATAAGCAGATATTAACCGGGTTCATGGAGGGTGCGACGTGGCGCGGCGCGGCGCGGCGCGCCACGGCGCGGGGTGGCGAGCGGGATACTGCGTAGCAACCAGAAGGGGTTTGCTCGCGGCTTTCCTTCCGCCAGCATCCTCCACCCTCGTGTGCGAAGAGGCCGAGGTGGGCCGCCGAGGTGATGGCGGAGAGGAGGAGGAGGCGCCTTAGCTCTGCCGCTTTCTCGCTGTCGGAAACGGGGAACCGGGCTTCCCTTATCTCGAGTCTGCAAGACTGCCTCCGGTAATACCGTGCGCCGCTGGAAACCCTTACGAGCGAGAACCCCGTGAAATATCGCTAAACGGCTTGGTACCCCTTTCCCGCTGCCTCTTCCACTTACCTTCGATCTTACCAACGAAGCGACGATCCACTCTCCCACCTTTTCGAACACTTGGCGCGGACGAGCGTCCTTCCACGCGTGCATCGGCTCATCCTGCCCCGACACTCTCCCGGTGTCCTCGTTATCGCCTCTCCAGGAAAGACTCAGCCGCTGGCTCAGACTAGGCAGCGCTGACTACGCGCGCTGCTCCGATAATGATGGATACGCCGCTGTCACGCGTCCGTATTATTAGTCTCCTTGCTCGCGTCTAATGACAGGCGAGGCTCTTTCGTTGTCTCATCTCGCTGGAATATCGCTGGAAAATTGGAGCGTAGAAAAATTGTACTTGTCACCGGGAAAATCACGCCCGTCGTTGCTCCCTGCGCATTTCCAGGTTCTCTGCTTCGTGGTTCGAAGTTGAGGCTTGCAGCGCGACGATCATTCGCGCGCGACTCGATGTCAGTAATATCCCAGGCGATTCCTCTCAATCGTTCGGATCCACGGCTCGGTATTGGCAAGACGACGAAAACGCGATGTCGTGGATTCTTCTACAGCGTCATCTACTGAGGAATCTTCGGGGGTCACATCGAGTTTAGATTTAGAGCCGCGCCGGCGGGCATCTCCTTGCGCGGGACGCGAAGGCAGGCGACAAGAAACCGGCGCTGCCGAGGAAACGAACGAGCGCGCTTCATTATACGCGACGCCGACACGCTTCGTTTGTCCCCGGAAGTTGTGCTTCAGGAGGGGCGACGTCGGCAACGTCAACGGGGCGGAGGGCGAGACGTGGCGGACGAGGACGAGGCGGAACAGAAGGGAGAGCGAGGTGTAAATGGGGAGCGGGGGCGGTGGGGACGGCTTGAATTAATACAATCACACGGGGGTGGCTCACCACTCGCAGTCCGTAGCGAGGGGGGTGAGAAGCAACGAGAGATAACCACCCCTTTGCTTGTCATCGAAATTATACGCTGCCAACACTCGACCTCGTTTACCATGCCATGACTTTCTCTCTTCCTCTCCTCCTCTTTCTCCATTACGCGGCCGTCTTGTTCGTCGTTGTCCTCGTCGTCTCGCACACGCGTTCCTTTCCCCGCTTCTTCCCGGACTGTGTATGTAGCAGATTTTCGGCATCCAGAGAATACACTCCACCTGACTCCGAGCCGTCGGGGTTATGAGTTTCGAAGCCGAGGATGCGCGTCGCTACGTAACGAACTGTGAGAACGTCAACGTCATTAACAAAGTTGCCATTGTCGCGACAGATTTTCGGGGGTCTCAGTCGAGTCCTCGAGGAGGGAATTAGCTCCAATCGCGAGTCGTGAGGAGAATAAAGAAATGCACCGATTACCAGTCGATCGATTCTCATTCGACTAAATACGAGATGGCCGTTGGCGAAGAATCCGTCTCCGACGTGGATAATCGCGCGCGAACATTCGCGACGAGCGACTCCGCGAACCTCACGGAGGAAGAAACATTTCACTCACCCCCCGTGGGAGAGCGCGCGTGGAATCGGGTTACGGGGGTTTTTAATAAAATCAGGAGCCTGGCGAGGCGTGCCAAATGAAAATATGCACGTTCGGCTAAGAGATTTTGCGGGCGGGGTGAGGCCTGCCCGTTTGTAAAACGGGGGTGCGACTCGATAACGATGGAATTCATCCATCCATCCATCCATCCATCCATCCACCCTGCGCGTCGCGTCGCGCCGCGCCGCGCCGCGGCACAGCACGGTACGGCGCGCTCAGAACGGATGGGAGAATTTTTTTCTTCCTTCATTTCCTTCCGCTCCCCTGAGCTTGTATCGTAATCAAGAAGACGCGGGGCGAATTAGCAATTCGATATCTCGCGCGAGATTTGCCGGGCGAGAGCCGGCCGGAGAGAATTTTCCGCGAGAGCGGCGGCGCAGTGTCCCATGCAACGCGCGCGAGTCCATCCAGCGAAGCTTCTTGAATATCCATTAGACATCCGCGTGCCCCGCGGCGCATGTCCCTTGATATATCTCGTCCTCACTAAAATAATAAAAAAAAATGTGCAAGGAAACATTTCACCTATGCAAGTGTAATAATCGCGCATCGAGCAAGTCTCACGAAGAAAACGCACGTTTTACGCGAGAAAAGCGCTCTCCCTGCCTTCCTCCTGTCTATCCATTGGACAAAGGATCTGTTTTCTTTCTCTATCGTAATCAATAGTCATACTGTCGGCAAAATACTCAGAA